ACGGGTCGTTTTGCCGCACAGTCGGCAAAGGATCATCAAAGTTGTTAAACAACGAGGTATTCGTCGCAGCACTAATTAACGTACTTTGCAAAACTCTCGCGCAATTTCTAGCTCCAGGACTCATACAAAACATCCAGGTGGACACCCTGGAAAATGCTCCACAAGTGACTGCAAAATGGTCGTATGAAGGAGCCTGTGACGTCATCGATTTCAACGTGAATGTGTACGATGTGAACGGAAATTCTTTAAAGTCCATGCAGACCACAACCAATATCATCGAAATCTCTGAAATGTCTCAGTGTGTGGACTTGATTGTTGGTGTGCAGGGACGCAATGCATATGGATTTGGACCAGAATCAAAGGGTTCCAGATTCTTCATACTTGCAGGTAAATCACTGTTTCTTGCACACATTTCCATCAATTATAATTCCCACCTTTGTTTTACTCGCGTTTTACTCGAGATATTTCGGTTAGCTTGAGTCTTGTCCATCTAAGCCGAGCTACAATCTCGGTTGAATTCGGTTGAATTTGGTTGTCAGTTATTGCATACATATTGATCTCTAACCAGTCATCCAAAGTTCGATTTGAGGACCTGTTCCCTCACAACTACTTCAGAACCGCAGTTCACCGCGATCACACTTTGGTTGTCAGTTATTGTAGGCATATTGATCTCTAACCAGTCATCCAAAGTTCGATTTGAGGACCTGTTCCCTCACAACTACTTCAGAACCGCAGTTCACCACCGGCGATCACACTGGCATTCTCGTTATCCATCTTGAGTTTTCATCATGTACCATGACGCAATGTTTGTTTCCGACTGCCAGCAGTGGCATGGATACCACTAACAAACCACCTGCTCGTTCCGAAATAAAACACCTGTTGCCTCACCTACATTAGTCAAACTGTAACCGGTCCATCTTATGGTACGCATTACTCAGTGTAGTTTGCTCCAATTAGAATAACCATTAACTATTGCAGTCCGGCTCATGGATGGTCTTACGCTAAGTGACCTTTCGATGAGGATGCAGAGTGGGTCTGTTTATCCGGACAACTCAGAATTCCTCAACTGAGTATAGTATTACTTTGTATGGACCCAAACACACACTCACCGTCATAATTGCCGGCACATCACTAAAGGTAACGTTTATCTGGTTACAAATCGCCGTGAGTGAGCATCATTGTACAGTGGTGTGACAATTTACCGGCCCCTATAATCTCAATTGGGAGTGTGTATATGACACTTGCAGTATCCTACAAACTGGATTTCGAGGTGTGAGTATGTCCGATACTTGGTCCTCTGGCTTAGTTTTTCGTCAGCGCGCTCGTTAAAACAGATGAGCTGTTCTAACGCTTCTGGCCAATCGTCAATGTTTTGAGGTTCGGTTTTCGAGCTACATTCTTTATTTTGCGCATTTACAACCCCCTGAGAAGTTTCGCGCACTCAGATATTATCCATGTCCGCAATCGGAAATACTCCAGTGCACCAGGGTTTTGCGTAATACAATCGACTTGTTTATTCATGAAACAAACCAATGGTTCTAAAGCGGGCCACTGTTAGAGACCCTTGCTTTCAACGTTTCTGTTCTGCCCACTCCACCGCACTCCATGACTAGTGTACGAAAGAAGAAAACCCACCTGTTAGGACTTAAGTTTTAATTCGTCTGAAATGAGTATGGGTCGCATCATCTGTGCGTCATTTGTCGCCGACAGCCTCATGCATATTCAAATCATTCTTTAAACATCGACGTCCGTTTGACCTGAATGCCGCTGTGTTCGCACACTGATGCCACCGGGCCAACATGCTGTTCATTCTTGCATGCCGCATTTGTCCCAAAATGATGTACACTGCGAATCCTAAACCATCAATGCTAATCTCTCATCTGAAAACTCTAGTATAAACCAAGTGAGATCACATCATCTGAATTTTAACACACACAGAATCTTACTTGTGTAGGCTGGACATCTTGGAAATTTCCACGGTTTTACTTAGAGCAGTTCCGATTGAGTCATTCTATATTTTCGATTCAGCACCGGGAGCACCCGACTGGATCGATGTGACATTGGAATCGGGTGTGACGGTTTTATGGGGTCAAAACAGTTCATGCCTTGTGGACCGCTTTGGTATAACGGTGTACAATTCGACCGCGGCGATTTATACCATCACTGTGGATGGGAACGAATTTGAAGTGCGTCTTTCGAAACTTCCAAAGAACATGTCACTGCTCATTGGTGTTCGTGGACACAACTCATTCGGCCAGGGTCCCGAAATGAACAGTACCGTTTTCATCATACCAAAAGGTGGGTTAACTTGAGATTTTCGACCAAGGTAAGAAGAACACCCGGAATAAAGGACATTTTGCTTCAGTAATATTTCGTGGGACTGTTTCAAAACGGTTCTTCAAATAGGCACAATCGTGTAAATCCTTAAGCCTTGGAGCTTTTTACTGAATATGGTTGCATTTTACAATACAAGACATCCAATTTATCCATCTTTACATAAAATGTCTGAGCATTGTGACTTGTATCTCGAATCGCTTTAGCTGTTGCCGCTCGAAATGGTCCAACTCACTTTAAAGGGGTTAAAACAGGTACTTTAGAAAATGAACGAGAGTTATATGCTTTAAGGCTGTAGCCGTGGTGAGAAGACACGATAGAGAGGTAAGCCGATTGGCGAATATGTGCATTACGAAGCGTATGAGGGAAGCGATCAAAGTTCAGTCTTATGACATCATAGGCTCCCTTCACCGTGGAGAACGGACGGATAGGTCTGTTCAAAAAATGAGTATAAACACAGTACTCAGTATTTAAATAAGCATTTGGAGACTGTGACGTTGTCTTAAAAGGAACGCCACCACGTCACCCTGGTAACAATCCCCTGCAGAAAGACTAATCAGTGGTGGAAATACATTTGTTTGTGGATGCTACTGAAACGGATTTCAGTAGCTACATTCGATGAAAACAAAAATTTGAAGGTTTCCTGAGCGTGCACATCTACGTTTTCATAGTAGCGTGTTTAAAACCTTTTGACTAAACTTTTCTACAGAACCATGCTTTGAATATCTTTGTGAGCATATTGCCATGAATTATGTGTGCATATACTTTAGCATTCAAGTCGCGCGATGTTTTACAAATTTGTCGGTTGTTGTCAAAGTTGCACCGGTGCTGGAGTCGTTTGAGCAACTTAACCTAGGATTTCCAAAATACACACAGAACTTTCTTTGGCTGGATCGGTCCAAAATCGTGAGACCTTCCTGGACCAACAGCCAGGATTTGTTGTTGAGCCATGTCGTCATGACCTGACGTATGAATGTTCACACAGGTTTGCAGAGAAAATGCAGTCCAGGGACGAGGTTGTGCCCACCATTCTGTATGGATGCAATACGCAGAACGGTGGGCCAGAGGGCATTTAAAGCTGTCCGCCGCCAGACAGTCAGAGTGTGCTGCAAAGTTATTATAATACTGGAAAGTTAGTGTTTTGTTTCCTTGAGTCGACGCTCATGTACGTCTTGGAAATGATAATGACTTAGTTGATTGCATTGGAAATCTGTAGTACTACCAAAATGATCGTTGCTACAAACTAACGTCCCTGATCTGTAAACCACGGTCCAACTAAATCGATTTCCGGTAGACTGCTCCCTCGGCTCCACCAAATATGGATGTCAGCAGTGAGCTTCATTTCCAAAATCTGCACCGCATAACACCAGAACTCTCATTTCAAGGTTGCAACGATAAGTTACGATTTACATCTCTGCAGGACACTTGATCCTCTCTGACTGCATCTAGCGTAGCATGCCTCAGATAGGACATTTGGAAGATCTGTGGCTAATCTGTATAATAATATAACGACGCATATTTTTAATTGTAGATCCAACGGCTCCGATTCACCTGCCCGTGTCCTTACCTAAAATCATTTCACAAGAGTCTGCCGTGGTGACCACACTTGTCCCAAAAACAGCCACAAGCAAACAACGTGGTATGAATGAAGACCGCTCCCTTGCTCAGAATCAAGCGCCGGAGTTTCTCAGTGACATGCCGGAGGAGATCAGTTCTTGCGATTCGGTGGCAACTGGTGATTGCATACAGTCCGAATATCAGTCTGATCAGCAGGTGGTCAGTCAGGTAGACCACACCATTTCAGGTAGGGCAGATCCAGAAAAGATATCTAATTACGACCGCAGTTTGTATTATTACATGAAATAGCTGACAGAATAATCTCATTTTGTCCTTGGTAGCACAGAAGTAGTACTAGTTGGAAGTCTTTTGGATAACGCATCTTTGCGCTTAAAACGGAATTGGAGAATGAAAGAACCGTAAGTGTTAGAGACCTTCCCTTCATTATCGAGGCTCCTTCGCACCTCAGTTATGATATGTGTTTGAAACGTTTGCGCGGCTTTTTTCGTTATTTCGCAACACAATTTACACAGGTAGGGGATAATGTCCGAGGTACGGCGAATCTCGATGTTAGGCCGAAAACTTGAAAAATAATGTATCCGCTAGTTTCAGTTTACGGCATCTCCATAAAGCTAATATTAGTTTTCCGGTAAAAATGCAGAAAATGGCTAATGACCATTAGTCCCGTCCCCCTCCCACCCTAAACTCTGCTTTACCGTTTGATAGTTTGTAAGAATATGTACAGCTAGTTTCGCAGGTTTGGATTTTTTGGAAATCGCATGGATCTACTCTACCTCGTCTGTCAGTTGGTATGTACCCCCACATGGCCCAAGATGAATTGTCAGTTGCCGTACACATCAAATGTTGAACTGTGCAGATGACCATTAAAATCAAGCAACTGTCACGTTGAAAACGGCAAATATTTGCGAAATCAGATTGATTACAACCGATTGTGGGGTTCCGAGGAGCTTTGGGCAGCCATGTAAGTAGTTCGTTCCGACTGACGGAGAGTTTTCTCTCAAAACTGGCCTCTGCTGACCACCAATGAAAGGGACAGTGCCTTCGCTGCGGAGGTATTTATTGGAAAACACCAACCCAACAATTACAGCCTATTGGACAGGGAAGCAATGCTCCCATACGCATCTTGTTTATAAAAACTGAATGTCCGTCTTCTCAAACGCGTCTTCCTGAAATTTCCTGGATATTCATTGACTATCACTCAAATGTAAACGAATGCTTCAAAGCAATTCCACAAAATCCGTAATAAATTTTACTTTTCAATAGATACGAAATGGATTTGGGGAAAAATATACTACTCGAATGTGAAAGGAAGAAGTCGTTGGCTGTGGAGTTATTTATTTAGAAATGTCAACTGACCGGTTACAGACCATTGAACAGGGAAGCAAAACTCTAATCTGCATCTTAGTTACAAAAAATGGACACCGATCTTCTATCGAACGAGTCTTCTTGAACTTTCCTGGAGATTCATTGACTCCACTCATTCGTCGGTCAATTCCGAGCAAATGTTACACAGTGGCTCCACGAATTCTGCAACAGATCTCCCTTTTTCAATGGACGCAAAGCGAAATTCTACGAACAGCACATACTACTCGCGTGCCTCCCCACCAGTAGTATCACCGTTGCATCGGTAGTATCCGCCCTTACACCGATGGCTAAATCAGCTGTTATAAGAAATTTTTAAGACGAGCAGCGTAGTGAGATAAGATGCTATTATCCAACGTTTCGGTTGCTCCTGACAACTTTTTTCAGTGATTTCCACCAATTATAATGTGTGTTGTGGAAATTCTGCGAAACAGTTGACCACAGCAATCGGATTATAGCCTACTATTCATCTACGTTTTGTTACGCTTATAAAGTTTTCCGCTTGGCGCTCAATTCTTCCAAAAATATTTTAACCGAATTTAATCCAAAGCTTTCAAAAGATTCAACAGATACGCCTTAACCCGCATGCAATGCAGGCAGTTGGGCTGCAGCCAGATGAAGTTTTTAAATTTGATTTCAGGCACTATGAAATAATTTGACAGGTGGTGGAATGGTTGTTTACGGGTAACAGCTCCAGAAGCTGTAAATACTTCAAAGTAAGAAGGATATGGAATAACATCACGGATCCTATTGAAAAACGCTATCCAGTGCATAAAACGTTGCAGAATTTACCAGTACAGTGCAGTGTTTCTGAAATTTTTTACTCAGGTTTTTCCTTCTAGATCTTTCGAGCTAAACGAGCGATGTCCAGTAATGGTTAAAGGATTGAGTGAACATGTCACACGCAATTGGAAAGCGTATCGTGTCCGAGAGAATCCCCTTGGAAAAGAACTCTGCTTGTTCGCCGTACAGTGTTGCTTCTAAGCAGGGAAAATTCCCTGGTATACAGTGTTTTCTGTTTGACGTGGGCACTTGTTTTGTTTAATTCGATATCGCGCAACTACGCAAGTGACAACCATATATAGGGTATAGTTTATCAGAAACTAAAACAAGTGGTTTGGATATATTTTTTCACCCTTAAAGATCGTGATTAAACATTAAAAATAGATTAGATCATCCATATTACCAGTCGCCCATCATCTGGAGTTGTTTAAAAGAATGTCGAAATTCTCCGAGTGAATCAAGAAGAGGCAAAAAATATGAGTAAAGCATGAAGTGATATAAATGAGAGGATGAAATGCGCAACACAGAGTGAGGTCTTGCACACCTGAAAAATCTAAAGTGCAATGTATATGACACGATGTTAAAAAGACTATCATTCCATACACACCGCACGGCTCAGCCAAAATGAACCCCTGTTCTAAGTTGTAGTTATATGGTTGGTGTTTCTACTTGATTTGCTTGGCCTGTATCCGATGAAATGTAGTTGACGTCAGTCACTGCGTGGATTGGCCAACGGGATGGAGGTTATTGTTCCTAAGATATCCTAAGGTTTGTGGTGTAACTCGACAGTAAATGTATTGGTTCACACTACAGTTGTGAAATATATCTAATCCCTTCGAGCTTCATATCCACCGACTAAACGACACCAAAGTCCGACCCATTGAGGAACTCACACATGTGTTAATCTGTATGGCAGAGCATCAATAAATCACCTCTGAGTGTAAAGTGCATAATTCAGTCCAGGACCCACCGCACTCAATCATTCACTTGCTAGGTCATCCGTCGGCAAGATAGTTTTTCCTCCCCACGATTCTTGTCTGTTCAGCTGTATGATATGTACTTATAATTCGCATTTGAAAGCCAAATGTCTAATCAGGATGTTGATGTCTTTTGCGAACAGGGAACACCGCTAAGGGCATTTTCCGATAAGCAATTGATTTCGACCGCTTCCTCATGCAAATGGCTACCAGCTAAATCCAGAGTGAACAATATAACAACCTTGTTCTTTGAGCCCAAACACAAATAGTGAAATGTACGTTTGTCCGAAACTCTTGCGATTGCTTTTCCATCTGATTTCACTGTTCTTATATTCCAGGTTTGGACAGACACCTAACCGTTCTTCGCAAATCATCACCCCCTGAAATTAGTCAATAGAGCATTCACTATGAACACCGGAAGTAGACGGTTTTGCACGGACGTGCGTAGGTTCGGACATCTTATCTTAAGAATATCTTTTGAAAAAATATATCAGGCGTTTCAAAAAGTCGCGTGCAGGACAGACACACTCCTAATCTTGACTTTTTGGCCTTGATTGATATCTAAATTGTCTAATAAAATTCATGTTACTGAAAAAAACCGCTTAAAATGTTGAAACGATGTTTCTTCCTTCCACCTACCAGACGGACCTGTTGAACCTCCAAGCAGTGTGACTCTACACCTGAGTAGTAGCAAAGCATTGGTGACAGTGAATTGGACACATGAAACTGCAGACGAATTCACGGTAACCTTCTATAGTGGAGTTCATGCAACGAAGGAAGAACGTACGCAATCAAATAGTATGACGTTTACCAATCTACCTCAAGACTTGCCTCTCCGTGTTGGTGTTGTGGCACATGAGGGTGAGAGGAAAAGTGCAGAGGCTACCAGTGCAGAATTCTACTTACCATCATGTAAGAATTTATTAATTTTTGTATTTTTTAGAGACGTTTTCATGCAACTACTCCACAGCCTTCTTCAAGCTATCGGTATGTGGTGGAGCACAGGCAACTGGAGTTCTAAAGGCAGATTAAAATATATCGACCACATAATGTTGACGTCCAGCTCTAAAGAGAATGGCCATTAGGGCAACAGACCAATGCCTTTAGCTTGAAAGCTCAACCAAAATGTAACAATATTTGGCGAGAAATGTAAGTGCAGTGCCTTTTTTAAAGGACAAGTCACCTGGCATATTCCAGTCCCAACAGGGAGAAACACTGCATTTGTCGGATCCTTAACCATTGGTCTACTTGGTGTGTTATACTCTGCGAGTGCCGCACGGGTGCCTTTACTATATCTCAATAACTCACGCAAACAGACAAACCATCACACCACGGTCAGGTACGATCTCTTCATGACGTTATGATCCCATTTCAAGTGAAACCGTCAGTTTGTTTATTACAAAAGTTAGACCATGGAAGGATGTTCATCCTATATGTGATGGCTTAACACCAGAACTCTTCAAGCAAATCCAACTGCTGCGTCCACATGAACTATATGACCACCGTATAGACTATGTGCAAACATTTAGGCAAATACATTCGTCAGAACCAAAAGCTTAGATCTTCACATCAAACAGGATACTCGTCATGCTTGTAGGCAATACCCCTGATTATCCGTTCGCCCTCCATTAACCTTAATAGTGGTGTGCTCGTGTCTACACCTCCTGACTGTAACTGAGCATTTTACATTAGATTAAACACTACATTTTACATTAATAAAAGTGGCCATCTACGAACCCCTTCCAGAAAACCCAGAATATCACCATCAGAAGAGAATATGTGTGTTATGGAGATCTACACGAAAAGACTTAATCGGAAGTCAAAAACCGTTGGAAACAACACAAAAGTAGATACAGACCTTTCAGTAGATTTGTTCAGTGTTCATTTTAAAAAATGCATTTCAGTAGCCATCAATGAGATCAGTGTATTCTTCAGTGAACTCTTCAGAATTTTACTGAAGTAGTCATAGTACTGCGTCCTACATAGACATATTTCTTTGCGTGTGCACACAAAAATTCATCAGCGCCCGTTCCACCTTTTACTCAGCAGAGTTGAGAGCGAACAAAGACGGAAAATGGCTTGACTAGCATCGTAAAATTTACACCTGGAATCATTACAAACACGTAGTCAATTTTTCTGCGAATAGAAGATTCCTACTGATCAGCT